GTTAATCACAGTCCCACGTGAACTGTCAGGTGATGTAACCACCAGAAGCTCCGCATCTCTGCATCACTCCACTTTGCCGACTATCAGCTGATTCTGTTTATAAAAGCGAAGCTGACGTGTTTTCTGTACTTTTGATCTGGTTTTCTGCACGGTTTTCACGTTTCCTAATGACGGTCAGACTCAAAAACCTTTAGCAAATTTGTGAAAAACAGAAAAGTCTAAGTAGGTGGAGCAGAATAAAACCAGTTACATGTTTTTATAATATCAACAATAAACGGATTAATGCAGAGTATGAATATTTCTCCTACAGAAGCACATCTGGAATAAATCGGACGCCTCTCACCCTGATGTCTTCCAGTTTGTATTCCAGCAGACTTCCATCCGGCTCCTCTAACCCCTGCCACTCTTCAACTCCGCCCACATCCCCGCCCTGCCCCTCCACGATGATCTCAAAGAACACCATCTTCTCTGAGAAGCGGCTGAAGCTGTTGTCAAAGCAGATTTCGTAGTCTCCCTCCTCGGTGGGCTCCACCCTGGAAGCAAACAGACACACAGGTAAAACGGCGTCTACCGAGTCACGGGGTCAGGACCTCGGGATGCTTACGTGTGGATTCCGTCGGACCGGCGAGATTCCGTGATGAGCCGGACTCCTTTAGGGGAGAGGATGGCGAAGTCCACGTCCATTCCAGCACCTGCTATCACCTGCAAACGGGGACAGAGAAACAGTTGGTTCAAATGTGTTCGAACAAAAACGATCAGATTAGATCTTCTAGCACAGGGGTGGGCAATCCGGGTCCTCGAGGGCCGCTATCCAGCAGGTTTTAGTTGTTTACCTGCCCCAACACACCTGATTCCTGGATGAATCACCTGTTCAGCAGCTCATCAGGCTCTGCAGCAGCCTGTTAATCACTAGTAGATTCAAACCAGGTGTGTCTAAGCAGAGAAACAAGTAAAACCTGCTGGACAGCGGCCCTCGAGGACTGGGATTGCCCACCCCTGTGCTAGCACCTGCATTCTACAGATTAACAGCTTATTTTATAGTCTGTGATGGGGCTACACGACTCAGCGTTTGCACAACACATTCCTTTGCTCATTTCCAACACTGCTGCACCACTTGTCACACTCTGTCAGCTCCTGTCTATTTAAAGGAGACATAACATGAAAAACCCACTTTTTTATCCATTAACACAGTGTGTTTCACATTTTAAGTGTCTAAGTGAGCAAAAAGGCTTATATTATTCACTGGAGTTGCTATTTAGATATTTAATAATTAAGTTTTGGGCATATTTGTCCACCCGTTCAGTTTTTACATTATCCATTACGTCAGTAATTAATTTAGTCAGGATAACTACCAAATATGGTAATGGCCCTCGGCTAAACACAGAGCCAATCCGCCATTTTTTCTTCTCGCTAAGATTTTTTGTAGTCCTATTGGAAAAATGCAGAATGTCTGGTTATTTTAGCCACACACAGCTCAAAACTGTTCCTCGTTTTAAGGAAGGGTGGTGTGGCAGTATTTAAACCCAGGAGCTGATGACACTACTGCTAAAAAAACACAGAAGAAAAAGTAGTGTGTTTGTGTGTGTGTGTGTGTGTGTGTGTGTGTGTGTGTGTGTGTGCGCGCGCGCGCGCGTGGTTCGTTCGTTCCTGTCTCCAGGCTAGTAAGTACTGAGGGCTTCATCTATCTAAAAGGAGTCATTTGCATCTGAATGTGGCAGCACCGGGACACAGCAGCAGAGCGGTAAGCTTCATATCACTCTAAAATGTCGACAAACTTTACTTTAGATTTACGGGCATTAGCAGCACTAAAGCGTTAGCATCCGGCTTGCTATCGCTATCGCTAGTAAAGTTAGCACCCAGATCAATGTGGATTTGGCTGATTTTCGTGGAATAAAACGTGATTTCTGATCAACGCCTTCTTTTACACCAGATGATAACCTCCCACTGATTGTAGAAGCAGAGAGCCTGTGTGTTATTCTACGTGAGTGTGATGTAATCTTAGCATCCAGTAAATAAAGTCCCATATCAGCTAAAATGCAGCGTGACAAAGTCATTAAAGTGCGTCAACACAGTGGATTTAATAGTTTTAAAGAACAATCTCTGAGTGGAGTGAGGTTAGTTTTTTGTCTCACTGCAGATATAAAAACTAACTTTATCAGTCAGACGCAGCAAAGCTCACCGTCTGTATGAGCGTGAGCGTCGGAAAGCTGATAAAATCGGCTGTAAAACAAAAGTAAAAATGCTCCTTTGCTTTTTAGAGTCAACATCCAGAAGACTGGAGCCGTGTTTCACTGACAGGCTGTCAGACTAAAGCCCTGATGAGCTCAGCTGGGACAAACTGGTCTGATGTTTAGGTAAGTGAAGATCTGCTTCTCCGAGATGCTAGTAAAAAATAATTTAGCCAGCTTGCTAATGTTACTTTTCTTCTCCTCTAAGGAACACAGAACGTTCAGATGTTGGCATTTCACGTCACCTACTGAGGAAGGAGACCCACCAGTAAAGAGACGGTCTGGACCAGACCAAAGTGAGTGATGACACACCTCAGCCACCCTCATCATTAAGAACACCTCACCCCCTGAATCACTCCGTCTGATGACAGCAGAGTGATTTATTTGATGTTTTACTTGTTTAATCTGTTTAGAAATTATTGAATTACATTATTTTCTGTAATCGACCATCTGATCTGGATGTGTGCAGAATAACTTTCCCCAAATTCAGCAGCAGCTGGCCTGTAAAAACAGCTGCAGCATGTAGTAAGTCTGTCTGCGCTGCTCTCTAATGAGCTTCCTTTCATAAGGAATCATTTGTATAATTTTAGTGTCACTATTTTATTACATTTGTAAGAATATGAAGTCACTGCAGCAAAGTGAACTTGTGAACAAACACAAACGTGACTATAAACATGAAAGCTAAAGAAACAACTTTCCTAAAGCTGCTTGTAAACAAAATATGTCATTAAAGTTATCGTCTATCATTGCAGAATATGGCGATGACATCATGGAACTGGTCTTTGGAAAAGTTTTCCCTGAACCAACTCCGTTTCTAGATGAGGTAGAGAAGATCTGCATCTCACCAACCCTCTGGTCTCAGTATTCAGACAACGGAGGTCTCCCACTGTTATCCAGGACCAGTTTGAAGCCCACATACTGCCCCTCCCTCATCATCAGGAAACATCAATCCGTATCCTGAGGACAACAGAAGACGGCAGGAGGACAGGAACTCTGAGACCTAGACACCACCAGCACCGAGACACAAAGCACCTGTGTGCACAACGCCTGTTTAACTACTAAAGCCTGTTTATTATATAGTTCTACTTATTTGCTGTGAGGTTAATACTTAGAACATTTGTATATTAATGTAAACAATTTAAAAAAATCACTGATTGTATGTTTTCTTTTAGATGTAATGGTCCAAACTCAGCCTTGTAGACATTTATTGCATCCTGTAGGTAAGTACACAGAACAGGCTCAGATCCAGGATGACCCAGCATGCTCTTCTTCCATTCTGGCTGTTAGGGATTGTATCAATAACTCAATGCCTACTGATGTTTTCACCTAACGGTATTTATTTAGAATGCAGGTAAGATTTAACTATATTTGTTAGCAAAGCAGACTGATCTTGGGAATTTCACTGCAGCACTGATGTCCACCTCTCTGTACACATTAGAGAGAATTACCACTTTTCAGCTAAACACATTTAATAAAGATATAGGCTACGCATTGCAGACAATAAAAACAAAGTTGTAAGCATTAGAATTATAATGATCACATTAAAGAACATTTGGAGGAATGTTCTTTATTTTTGACTCGAATCTCAAATCTTTAAATTAAAATGTAACTGCTTTTTATCCATTTTCAGCCATTAAGACACCCAATATAAAATAAGACTACTTATAAAATTATTTATAATTATATGTATGTATATATATAGATAGAGATCTTAATAAAATGTATTCTTTTAATGGTGTTTTAATGAGCTGTATCATTTTTTAAAACATTTTTTATAGAAATAAATAAGCAAGCAGCATTCCTTGTGTGTGTGTGTGTGTGTGTGCGCGCGCGCGCACGTGCCTGCTAGCTGGTCCCTCCGTCGGCAGTGACGGGTGTGTGTGTGTGACTACAGACAAATGCATGAGAGAGTTAGCAGCCTTGAAACAGCTTGATGAACTACCCTCCCCACATGTTTTAAAAATGCTAATATGCTATGCTAAATCTGCTATGCTAAATAATGATTTCTCTATAGAACTACAAAGTCCGACTGGGGGAGGAGAGTACAGGTCTGCACTATGGAGGGGGGCGGAGTTTACAGCTCCTCCTCCAGTTTAAAGAGACAGTACCCAAAAACGGCTCGTTCTCAAGACTCTCCTCAGAACAGGGGTAGATGAGGGTCTGTAGAGCAACAATAATGAGGAAATCAGACCAAAGAACTGCAGTTCCACTGTATTTAGACCCCCAACTGAATGATTTAGATGTAAAAAGGAATAACTTAAAAGCATGTTATGTCTCCTTTAAGGCCGGCGTCCCAAAAGGCTGAGACTGACCCGATTGGTCAGAGGGATGAAAATGTGAAGCAGCTGCTCCTCCTCAAGATGAAGGTTTTCCAAACGAGCCCCAGAGAGGTTACGAAGCTAACGTGTCTTAAACTTTTACACTTTTTATTGGTCTGCAAACCAGTTTATTTAAAGTTTTTTAAATAAAAAAAAATACAGTGAATAATTATTTCATTTCACCGTCATGTTTTAATTTTTTACATCAAGAAAAATGAATTCAAACGTATCTTTTTATTTAACTCTTATTTTGTCCAAATGAAAAACATTATTGTAATAATAGTTAACTTAAATGTAAGGTGGTAATATTTAGCATTTCAGTGCCATCTTCTTCCTATTTTTTCGATGTTATTTTTAAGTTTATTAGTTAAGAATGCTTCAGTAGGGACTGCACGATGCTTCGTTAAACAAAAACAAAGTTTTATCTGATCTCTGAGTGAACTGATGAGAACGTTGTGCAACTATAACTAGTGCTGAACTGATTTTTAATGAATAAACAAACAACAACATTTATGCTGAAGTTTAGATCATTTAATGATGCAATAGCAAATTACAAATGAGCTTAAAACATTATTTCATACCTCTTAACAACGTTGGTAAATGGCCTCTATTTGATATAGTGGCTTCAAGAGTCCTGGAACCCCCCAAGGCGCTTTACAACACAATCATTCACACACATTCTGGTGGGGATGAGCTACGATGTAGCCACAGCAGCCCTGGGAAGCACTGACAAAGGCGAGGCTGGCAAGCACAGGCTCCACCGGTTCCTCTTACCACCACCATCAGGCAAGGGGGGGGGGGGTTAAGTGTCTTGCCCAAGGACACAATGACAGCGACAGACTGAACGGGGCTCAAACCTGCAACCTTCCGATTACGGGGCGAGCACTTAACTCCTGTGCCACCGTCGCCCTGCATTATATAGCTATTTACTATGTTCTAACACAGTATAGCTATAAATATATTGTAGAGATGAAAAAAAAAAGAATTCAGCTTAATAAAGTGGTTCTCTCGCATTCGTCTAAAACCCTCTGCCAGTAACACGTTTTGGACCAAACGCGAACCATCCGGTTGTCCGTCTGGCTGAACTGCCGCACTTCCCTGACTCCTCCACTCATAACACACTTGTGTATTTACCAACAGAACACCACTGGTGTGAGAGGTTCAACAATATCAGAGAAGAAGAACGAGCCGGCTGCTACCACTTCACCTTTAGGACAGAGTCCCAAAAATAAAAGCACCATTTGAAGTCGCGGACAACAAAAGACGTTTGGACCTAGAAAACAGCAGCTGGTGTTTAGCGCTATCTCGTTTCCTCTGGCAACGTGGGTTTCTGGCTCTGGTGGACGCAAATCCAGGAAGTCGTCGCAAAAACTTGACAACTACTCTTCATGGGGTCCGATTCCAAACCAATTCATAAAAAAACTAAAACATATTACAGTTTCAACCACAACCCATTCAAAATCCAATAACTTCATTACACCGTCCACTACTAAAGCACGATAAGATCATACAGTTATGAATAAAAATTAAATACGCTGTCTGCAGACTTTTGTCACAACACAGCCACATTAAAAACATAAATGACTTGTTAAAAACCAAGCACTATTTAACCCTTTGATGCATAACGGTCACTACAGTGGACAGGTACTCAAAATTGTTATTCATTTGTTTTTGCTATTAAGCACAGCTGTTGAAGACTTTATTGCATTTGAGCCCCTCCATTTGGACTTCAGTAAGCCAAGCCAACATATTTCATGTTCAGAATGCACGCTGTCCACTGAGGTGGACCTGTAATAAATTATTTGTAAATTATAAAATTTTACAAAAAATATTTGTTGAAATTTGTTTCATTCACACCTAAAGACGAATGAAAAACTTGTTAAAAAAATCATGGTTGAAGATTTCATAATTCATGCATCAAAGGGTTAATGAAGGCATAAATATTTTAAGAAGCATTTTGAAAGTTGATCAGCTCTTATGGATATGATCGGGTCATTTCAGCTCATTTATTGACACCCTGTGGAGAAGATTAAATAAAATAATAGAAGGACGGAGTATTTTGCATTTATTTACGCCAAAGTGAACATATTCTTCTCTTGTTGTTCAGAAGCCGCCCTTCAGGAGATAACGACCCCCTCGTGAGCGCCCATGGAAAAGAGCGACCAGAGAGGAGGCTTCTGGAGTAAAATGTTCCAGAAAGCCTCCATGACAAACAAATCATTATTAATGCAGCGAGCACATTTCAAGGAAGAAATCATTTCTTCCATTATCATTATCATTTCTTCCATTATCATTATCATTTCTTCCAGGGTGGTGGTCCCCCCTATCTAGCCACTCTCCTGAACAAACACTCCCCATCACGCGCTCTGCGCTCCTCTGACCAAGGCCTGCTCGCTGTCCCTCGGTCTAGGTGTCGTACCCGTGGGGACCGGGCTTTCTCAGTCCCAGCACCGTTACTCTGGAACCAGTTGCCACCCTCAGTTAGGCTGTCCCCTTCTCTGACAGTCTTTAAAGAGCAAGTCACCCCCTACAAGAAACTTACTTCACTCCCACTTCATGTTTGAAAAATGCAACAAATGCTGTTGCTTGGCAGACCGAGAGGGCGGAGCCGCTAACAAATACACACACAGGCTCACAATGGCATTGTGACATCATAATTTACCAGATGACATCATAGCATACCTCTTAGCCAATAGCGGTGGCAGATTTAAATTCAAATACAGTGCAGAATTTTTCCCTGACGACGGCCCACCACTGACAGTTTTAGGCAGAATATTTGAATTTTAACCAAGATGCACTGAACTGCCAAATTATTGACTACACGTGTCTGTAGCACGATTAGACACTCCTTTATATAGTTTATCAGCAAAAAAAAAATGTGATTTGGGGGTGACTTGCTCTTTAAGAATCACCTAAAAACACACCTCCTCCGCTTGGCGTTTCCAGAACATGTTTGATTTTGGCCCTCTTTTATGTTGAATCCATTCCACAGTTTTCATTGGTACAGTCAATCCATCCACTCAATCCAAATGTGTTTCACACATTTGTATTTTACCGGAATGTTTCATCTATCTTGTAATTTCCATTTTGTATTTTGTAATTTGTATTTTGTAATTTGTATTTTGTAATTTGAATTTCTTTCATTGTTGATTTATTCAATATAATTACTTACAACTGTACCATGTTCAGCGCTTTGGGCTTCCTGACAGGGTTGCGGAAGGCGCTTTATAAATAAAGCTTTGATTGAATGATTGATTGATTGATTGAGGCGTAAGAGAAATGAGAGTAAAGGAAGTGAGGACATTTGCTGAATGAAAAGAAACAATCTCAAACCGAGTCTGAAAGGGTTTTTGTTTAAGTTTGAACTGGATTTTGACTTTTTGTAAGATTATATAATTATATAATAAGAATTCTGTTTAACAAATATAAAAGTTCTGTGTCACAGCTAGGGGAAGACCGATATATCGATCAGCTGATGCACGCCATTGTTAATATATCGCGTCGGGCGATATCCGTCCCTAGCAAAGACAATTTTAAGTCAGACACTCCCCCGAGCAGCACGGTGCTGTTGCAGAACTGCTCTTAAATGATTCCCAATTAAAATTTCTCTACATTTAGCAGTATTGAATATTTAATACTTGGTCGGACTCCGTTTACTGAGTTGTTAGATGTCTGATTTTAACAACGCAGGGAACAAAATGAAGATTTAACAGCTGGGTTAATTCATTTTTCTAAATCTAATTCAACTTCTGAAAATTTGTGCATCAACTGATGTTATTAGTGACAATTTAGCATGAAAATAAGGTGGAAAACGTCTAGATATCGGCCATAAAAATCGGTCCAAAACATCGCCAGCACAAATCGGCCATCAGCTGACCATGACCTTTACTTATCGGCATCGACGATAGAAAAGTCAATATCGGTCAACCTCTAGTTGCAGCTGCAGAAAATAGAAATAAATAGAAAGCGACAACGGGTAAATATAATCCAAATCTTAAACGAACTATTCTTAACACACTGTTTAATCTCAAACTCCCTAAAAGCACACCTCCTAAGCATACAACTGTATTTGTATCAGGTGAATTTTTCACTTGGGAGATAAAATACTTTGTTTAAAAGTTAAATTTCCATAAATAACACAAGGTTTCAAATTCAAACCACATTTTTACAGATACGACGAATATTTTTAATTATTTGGTACAGATGAAAGCCCTCTTAGCTGACAGAGCTACTAACTAGCTAAACAAACAAACTGCTACCTTGTGCGGCAGCTTCCCAATATGATGAGGTGGTATGTAAATAATGTTTAAAGCTGCTTCTCTGGTTACAGCTGCAGAACAATTAGCAGACTGAAAAATAAAGTTCTTTTAGAAACATTTTAAAGCAGAAATGATTATAAATAGTAACACTTGGAAGGTTTTTCAAGTATTTTTGTCAATGTAATAATTAATGCATATGTGCTGCTTATTGTTGAAGAAAGGAAGGTAAAGCCTTAATTATGGGTTATAAACATGATTGTTTTTGTTTCTTTGTGGAATGATTCCTACGCCTTTGCCAAAGTAAAATTCAAGCACTTCAAAGAAAGATTTTCCAGCATATTAAATATACACGTTTAAATTCTTTTTTCACTTTCTTGAATTAATACACTTAAATGTTTTCACACAGTACCTGATTTCAGTCACATTTAAGGTATTTTATTAAATTTCGAGCACTTTTAAAACCTTGCTAACACCTTTATACATTTCCCAGCACCTGTAACAACCCTGTTGTTGAGCTGACATTCTGGTAAAACTGTAACACTGGGAATCATATTTTAAGTTGTGATGTTCTGTAAAATCTGAGCCTTTCAGGAATTCACACCAAATCATATTTGTGACTAATCAGTGGCCTGTTACCACTTCTGTAAACCCAAGCATTTGCGCCTATTTGCAACCACGCAGCTCGTTTTATTATCGTAGTTTTACCTCCTCCGGATAATGTGAATCTGAAATGCACATTTTTATCCTCCAGACGTAAACAAACGTCTAAACGTGCAGCTTTAGGGGTTAATAATTTCCTTATTGACAATAGAAAGTGTTTATATGTGGCTAAACTCTTTTTAAGGTTTATGTACCTGAGCGTGAGGACTGAAGGGCGATTGTGTTTGCTAACCACACTCATATTTACCTGATACTCGACCTCCATCGTGCCATTCTTTAGAGCAGTCTGATAGAAACACTCGGATCTTCCGGCTGGAAGCAGAAACGTAAACTCGCTGTCTTGGTTTTGCCCGAAACAGCACACGGAGCTAACACCCCACATAAACACCACCGCGAGGCCAAGCAGTCGCGTTTCGGTGCTTAGTTTCATCCGGAGAACATCCATATTGAGATTTAGCATCAAACTCGGAGCTATCTGAGCCTAGCCATCTCCTTCTCATCCGATCGTCTTCCGCAACAGAACTTTCCTGTGTCGTGATTGGATGGGAGCCCGCAAAGGAGATCACCCCTGTGGACCAATGAGAGGAGGCAGAGTAGCAGGGCTCCTCCAATCACAGCGAGGCTAAACAGATGCGTTATTGTAACCTGAAAGATTGGGGGCCTGGCCCGTGTGGCCTGCCCCCCCCCCCCCCCCCCCTTACAAACGCTTCGGATTTAAACAAATATTGTACGCCGGTAGTTTTTTTTTTCTTCCTTGGAAGTAAATTTGATAAAATGTGGTTTACCAGTAATTGGTACCCAGTCTTCTTCAAGCTGTGGAGCTCTGAAAAAACATTCTTAATGATTATTCCTGATTAGAATCAGTCACTGTGAGTTTTTCTTGGGGTTAGGGATTAAAGTTAAGCCTAATTTATGCTTCTCTGTCAGCTCCGCGAGGGAGAGATGCACATGCGTTGACAGAGACGTTTTGCTCTCTGACTTTTCCGTCAGCTGGCGATTGTAGAAAAAACATTCATTAAAAGATTCGGAATGACAATTTGCTAACGGGATGATAGGCTCCTAGTTTATTAACAAGTTAAGAGCTAATTTAAGGAAAGAGGTGAATTAAGATTTCCTTGATGTTTATGTACATTTGGAATAAGTTTAATATTGTTCACTTAGACTTTTTTTTTTTTTTACTCAGATTGGTACAGTCCCAAGGCATTTACAATAGTAATGGGTACCAGGTTGCCACCCCTTTTTACTACCTGCTTCAAAATGGTTTCAAGCATTCCAGGCCGTGTTGAAAACGCAAATTTCATTGGAGCGATAGGTCACTGATTGGCTGGTAGATGGAGTCACTGATAGCCAAAGAGTTTTCCGGGTCTTCTGTTTTCGTAGTCTGGATAAAGGCCATAGAATATTCCAGCAGCTCCATCCTGAATGTTTAAGATCTTTATCCACTGTTGCATTGTGCTACGTTTGTGTCATGAAGAGATACCGCCTCGTTACTTTTTAAATTCCGGGGGACGCACACAATGACCTTATTCCACCTCAGCATCTCGGGTTTTACATCTAAATATCAGTAGTTTTGTTTCTAATGTTCCTAAACTTTCTCCCTAAAACTTAGTATCAAAATACTGTCAGCCCAGGACTAAGAAAACCAAACCTCACTTCCAGCCTGTTATTTGTGTGCTGATCACCACCTAACAAACATTTCAGACACTATTGTCATTTTACCAAAGAGTGTTGAAAATGTGAATTTATTTTCCAAATGTCACACAGTGGAGCTGGGGTAATCGATGATGTCAAAGGGAAATTCATGCAGCAAAAATTGGAAACAGGTAATCACTTTAATGAAAGTGAAAAAGAGGTGTGTGTGTGTGTGTGTGTGTGTGTGTGTGTGTGTGTGTGTGTGTGTGTGTGTGTGTGTGTGTAGGGGCAGCATGGTCTCTGTGGTCAATAAGCACTCACACAAAGGTGTTCCCCCACTCACTTCCCCCTCATTTGTACATACACAAACAAGGGATTTCTTTATCAAATTCAAGTTGAAATCAATTTAATGTCAATATAAAATCTATATAACTCCTGGATGTTAAAGATATCTACCATAGTGCCATTTTGATGGCAAGTGCTATTTAAAAAATACACTTTTTATTTTATTTTTTAAGATTTACTGAATTCATTTAAAGTGCTTTATTGTGCTCCATAATTGAGCCAAACTGAATTTAATACTACAATTATATAAAATAAAAGTGAAAAGGAGAGGATGACTGCTGTCAAGTACCTTCGTGACATCACACTGCCAAAGCAAAAAGGGAAGAACTGAATCAGTGTTACACTGGTTGCGTCAGCGTCCCTAACTAAATTTATTAGAGAACTTCCTCTTTTGGTGAATCTTACTAACCATTGAATCAATTGGATCATCTCATAAAATGTCATTCTAACCCAAGAGGAAGAAAATAACATTTAGAGTCACCACTAACAAATAAGTTGAACCACAGTGATATATTTTTTTTTTTGGTGGGAAAATTCTCTTGTTTTATAAATTATGCAGGACTGATTCTCACACACGTATCATATACATTTAAAAATATATAATAACTACATCAAAAAAGCAACAGTTAGCAGTCATGGGGGTGTTTTAACATTTATCAGAGCATATCAATTACTGTTGGACAGCTGCACACTTTAGGAATATAGCAACTTTATTTCATAACACAATGACAAAAATAACTTTTCATACTTTGAAGTTGTGGACAGGATCACCTGTTATATGAAACAAATTGTTTGCAGATGCCAAAGAAGTTCATGCCCAGCTTTAAGTTATTTTAATTCAACAAAACTTAATTTAACTAATGTACAAATGAAATCTTCCTCTTCGATATCTCACATTATGCTTTGAGGAATTCCCCATCTACTTAGCTGTGATGTACGGTATTTGTTGCGATTGTAAATAAAATGGAAATCCCCAACGGCACTCCAAAGCTTGACCCATAAAAGGGAACTGAATCTGACCTCTCTTTATCTGTCTGCCCGTAGTCCGTTTTTTTTTTTGTTAATAAATAGCCAGCAGGATAAATTACTCACATTTAACACCTCACTTGTTTGACATACTTCAGACTAAAGTAGCTCATTTGGGCAAGTTACTGTAACTTAAATAGTAATAAATTACTAGATATAGCTTGAAAGTACAATACGCTAGTATAACATATGACATTCTCAAATATGTACCATTTACACTACTTTGACACCACTTTTGAGAGACTTATGACAAATTGTGACAGCATTCTAGAGTATTGTAACTGATTAATTTTACACAACAGCGACCCTCTAGACTACAGTATTTTTCTCATTTTAAATAAACTTCTAGTAACCAGCAGATTGGTGAATATTAAAGGTGTGGACAATCACTAATGTTTCATTTGTGTTGGAAGATAGGTTACGTTGAAGAGGTACATTGTCTTTGTCCATTTCTTAATATGTGGTCTTGTCTGAACTTGTGTACTCGCGTTCTTGTGAAACATCATCACTATTGGTCCAAGTACAGCTCCAATCCTAAGTATGTATCCCTCATAGTTCCTGGATGTGTTCTTGCTTGACCCATCTAGGATGCATCAACACATCCTTCTGTGAACTTGGGTTGGGCCAGCAAGGCGTCCCAAAATGCACTGTCTCACAAACCGGATACCCAAACAAATAATGGCATTGAGAGCAAACTTTTTGGTTTGATGCATAGACAGCAGTATCCAACTGAAGTACATTATGCTTATACTAGATTTTTCAACACATTTACTGTGGTTTCTAGTATAAATGCATCAATCTCTGTGGGGAAAAAAGCTCTGATGCTCCTGTTTCAGGAACTAGAAGGGATCCAGATCAGAGTTGAAGATTTGGAGTCTTTCTTCATGAAATTCAGACAACTTCCCTCTGATTGGCTAACACCAATGGGCCTCCACCACTGACTATGTTTGCTCTGTAACATTGATGTTTTATCTCCACCAATAACACAAACCTGAAAGAGTTCTGTTGTGTGGTGGAGTTGCTAATGCTAACGGTTAGCTTCTATTAGCTGAGACATGCGCTGTTCTCTCCTGGATGCTAAATCAACAACAGCCTTCCCTGTCACAAACCATAATGGATGAGTCCAGGAATGCTAATTTGACAATACAACATGCAATTAAATGACTTTTCTAATAGAACATTTCCCTGTCTTTTTTCTATGAGTGGTTATGAATTACAGATGAGTGTAGTTTTCCACCATGTGGTCTTCATATAACCTCCTTTGTTACTGGTGTGTAAAGGGATAGCACACACATTTTAGAAGTGGGTTCTTGCTAAGAGTCCATGAGTAGTTTGTGTCTTACCTGCAGTCAACAGGAGTCAAATTGATTTCAGTTCAGAAAATCAGAAAGGAGTTATCCAAAAGAGTCAGAGAGGGCCTTTGTTCAGAACAGAGTGAAGCTATCTAAAAGTTTAACAGTTTAATAGGAATTCAGATGAATGTTATGTTGTAGGTGTCACAAAGCTGCAGAGGAGCAAGTGTTCTAATCAGATGCCCCACACCCTGTCACAATCCGTCTTTGTGTTAAAGTTCATATTTTCTAATTTGAGATTATTTTAATTGCTTTCTGCATCATATAAATAACCAAAATAGCAAATTATAGCTTCTTTTTCAGAAAGTTGAGTTAGTTCTGTACAGTTTTGGGTCAGCCACACCAACATTTTTCATTTAACTGCTCTTTACAATATTTCAACTTCAGACTTCCCTTTGCCAGATGGACACTTTATACTTAGACCTATCCAACCTGTTTTTGTTGTCTCCCTGCTCCAACACACCTGTTTCGATGGTTGAACCACCTGTGTAGCAGGTCATCAAGTCCTGCAAAAGCCTGTTAATCCCTCCTAATTAAAATAAGGTGTTCTGAAGCAGAGAAACCTCTAAACATGCTGGATAGGGGCCATCCAAAACCAGGGTTGGATACATTGACCTAAAGGTAAGGGTGACACATGGAAATGAAACAATGTTCACCTCTGGGTTTCAGTCTTGGCTGAAAGAAATGCAAAATAGCACCCATTTGAAATTAGCAATGGTTTTGCATATGATTGAGTAAATGTTAGATTTTGGGTGTAAGTTTGTTGTAGTTTTTGTATTTCTGTGTTTGTAAAAGCCCATCCTAGATTTTAGTTGGTCCAGAACATTATGGCGCGTTTGCTAACGGGCCCCCGCAGGTATGAGCATGTTACCCCGGTTCTGTATTCGCTGCACTGGATCCCAGTTGTTTTTAGAATTCATTTAAAGATCCTGGTGCTGGCGTATACATTTTGCCGTGTGAGCCAACACGCCAGCTGAGGTCATCTGACCAGCAGCAGTTGGTGGTTCCAAGGGCGAGGTTGAAGCTAAGAGGAGATAGGTCTTTTTCTGTTGCTGTGCGTAGACTACGGCACCATCTACCTGTTAGTGTTAGACATGCCTCCTTGCTAGTGGTTATTGAATATCGTCTCAAGGCGCACTTTTATTTGCTGGCGTTTAACACTGCCTGATTGTTGTTATCC